GCTGTAAATTCACATCTTGGCTTATCTTAAGGTAAATCATAGAAGACTGATATAAAATGTATCTGGCATAGATCGACATAAAAGTGTTGTGTTTCTCTGACAGTTTGATTAAACCCACTTATTATCACAATTTAAGTGCAGCTTTCTTCTTTGTTCAAACTAGTAAACAGGACTTCCAGTTTTACAATTATGGGCATAATTTCCTAAGAAACGTAAATCAAAACAAACCAAATAAAACAACACTTATACTGCAATAAGTAAAATCACAATGATTTTGGTTACATCTAATAAACTTTCTTGTGTAGACAAGGCTTTCACGGTACATATTTTTTTCACATTAATGTAAACCTGGCTTGTATCTGTTTAACTTTTATCTTTGAGAGAGATTTTAATGGATAAAAGTGTCCAAAGAGAACTCCACAGTGATTCAAATGGATCATTTTTTAAAAAAAACCCTGTGGTTCATTTCCAATCTCATACCATGTTTACATTAAACTGCTGGGTCATATGCATGGTAGGAACTACATGGACACCCCTTTTAGGTGGTTTTGTTTGAACTTTCTCTTGGCTGGAATCATGCACCACAAATTTTGGACCCGAACATTTAATCTCCTTACATGACATGCTCAGACAGATGGCAGGTCAGAGCGTTAACCATCCACTTCCTCTCCTCCCCCTATCTCCAGGAAAAGTTGCCAGCAAGTCTCCTTGGTGGTCATTTTCAAGAAGAAGCACTGATCACAAGCAAACCCTGTTCTTAGTGAACCTTGTGAGAAGCAGCCAAAAAGTTGTGTCATAACCGTGTAATTTCTACAGGGTTTGTCATACCTGGAGCAAATGGGAGTAGATTGCTATCAGGAGAAAGGCAGCCCAGCAAGGATGCTGTAATACCTAAGCTCTACGGTCTTGAAAACCAGGCTGGGTCCTGCTCCATGCATCTCTCCTAATTGTGCCCAACATTGTCTGGGGCAGTACTATCTAGCCCACAGCAGAAACATGTCACAAACTATGCTTATGCTTAAACAGTACAGGTATTGTCATGTACCAAAGCTCAGACACGTGCCTTGGGTCTCTCATTTATTTGGTGTAAATGTAGCTACAAGGTCATTTTCCTCTGTGCAGTCATAGTAACTTACAGAAACTTTAGGGCTATTCTAGGATAAAATTCAAGTTGGATTTCCTTGGGAGAGACAGAATTCCTTATATATACAAAATACCATAGCTGGAAGAAGCGACAACAATTGGATGGGCACCCATCCATCCATCCTTCCATCCATCAGATATGAAAATGAAGCAGCAAACTTAAGCCAAATGAAAGCTGGGGAAAAAAAAAATTACACTATGTTTAAGTTAATTGTGTTAACTTTGGAGAAAAGTGGCATTAACAACAAAGCCTCAGTAACACCAAATCTCATCAGCAGCTTTCACTAAATTTTGTCTCCCCTTTGCCATCTTATTTCTTGCTAGGAACAAAATTCAGACCAAATTTTTTAAGACAGATTCACAACAGCTTGTGCTGTTTGACAGTACATGTCTGACAGGATTTTTTCCGCCTCCTAGAAAAGTTCTGCTAAATATTCATACATTCCTCATTGAAAGAAACCTGATTCTTGGCCAAACTGGAGCTTGTTAGCAGACAGAACAGGAGGACTCCTTCCTCCCTGATGCACCTCTGATTCTCACAGAATTTGCTTCACACCTGGTCTCTGCAAACAGATGCTCTCAAACCCAAATTGTTATAATCTGGAAGTAGGTTATAACCTGAAATATTGCCAATTCACGGAATTTTTTGAAAGATTGTTTTCTAACTTTACTGTAGAATTTATAGTTTGTGGGAGTTTCTTGTAGTGTTCAGCTCCATCTGTCTATCAGAGTGGCTGAAAAATATCAGTTTTTAAATAAGTACAAAACAGAGCCTGAACTTTTCTTTTAACATGTTTTGTTCTTTTGACAGAGATCTCACAATTATATTTGCTATTAATGAAAAACACATTTTATTTTTTACAAGTACAAAGAAATTATTTTAAGATGAAAATGAGCAGAGGAAATGTTATTGAAGAATTTAATTTGTCTAAGAACATTTTCATTAAGAACTGTTTTATAGTCTTGTTTTCTGCTGAAACAGTTTTTTACACAGCTGTAAACATGGTGGGAACACAGAGTCACAGGAGGAGCTCTGATTTTTCTGGGTACCAGCTGCTGACGAGCTATTTGTGCCTGGGATCGGGGCAGATGTGCGGACAACAGAGATGGCAATGAGCTTCCGTGCAGATGGGGGCTGTCATTAGGAAGCAGACTGTAAGCACCTGCTTCAGAAAGGATGACAGGAGAATTTGTGTCGGAAGGGGCCTCGAAGATCCTTAGCCCAACCTCCTGCTCAAAGCAGGGGCAGCTTTGAGGTCAGACCAGGCATCTCAGGACTTCATCTTGTAGAGTTTTGAAACCCTTGCAGGATGGAGGCTGCACTGTCTCTCCTGGCAACCTGCTGCGATGCCTGACCGTCCTCATGGGGAAGAAGTTCCCGCTTTTACCCAGTACGAACCTCTCCCCTTTCAACCTAAACCCAGAGTCTTTCATCTTCCCACCAGACACCACTGTGAAGAGCCTGACTCCATCTTCTTGAGGACCTCCTTACAGGTATTGGAGGCAACCTTAGGTGTCCTCCCCTCAAAGCGAGCCCTTCTCCAGCTGAACCAGACGAGCTCTCAGCCCCTCCACTCCAACCCAAACCATCTGACCCCACACTGAACTCTATCCAGTTTCTTGCACTGGGGAACCCAAAACTGGGCACAGTATCCAGACACAGGGTAACAGGCACTGAGAAGCTGTCTCCTAAGTAATTGACCCGTGATGAGCCTGTCATGATCTGAGCGGTGTGTGAGATGTCCCTCTGCCCCCTGCTCAGTCTGTGCCTCTATCAGTGGCTGCGGCCCCACTGCCCTCAGTGACAGAAGATATATGTGTGCACTTCAGCTCTGCTAGGGCAAAGTGGGCTTGAGAAACAGCAGTAATGAGGAGCAGCAGAAGGCCATGTACATGTTCCTCTCTGCTTCCCCAGCTACGGAGGGCAGTAACTTCCAATGGACAGGAGGGCTGGAAAATATCAGCTCTCATGTAAAGTGCTTTGGCCATAAACTTCAAAGCACTTCCCAAAAGGAGGCTGGATTGCTAGTTGTGTTTTACAAATCAGGAAGCTGAGGAAAAAGCAAAGGAAGTGTTTTGACTGAACTCATATAGCAGCTGCTTGCAGGGGCAGGCAGAGGCTCGGAGCGCTACCCACGTACTGTTCCATCAGGGCGGCAGGTTCTGGTGCCCGGGGGTGCTGGTGCCCAGGGATCTGTGGTTCCCGACTCCTGTGCTGCCTCTCAGAGAAGGCACCAGTCCCTGCCTCCTCCAGGCATGCACTCTGCAGGTGTTCTGCTACGCGACGGCTAATTCCTACATGGAAATCATGCTGGTGACATGAGTAAAACAGCCTCCAAACAGTGCAGATTTACGGCTTCAAAGCAGAACTGCTGATCAGAAACACCATGAATTAGTCATAATCTTATCAAAAATATTTTATTTATGAAAGTAACAATTATACTATACAACCTATATTGGAAGTACATTGAATAATTGCTAGAATAAATACAGGCAATTAATTCAATCTTTTTATAGAATGAGAGGATTTATTTGACATTTGAATGTTAACCCAAGCTTTAACTTACATCATAAATAGTTAAAAGGCATAGTCAAGTTTTTTTTTTTAGTTTCTTTTGCTTTTTTTTTTAATACTGTTCTATTTTGTAATCAACACGAATCAACTCTCCAATCATTAACATAACATTAGTATGACTTTCAAGCAATCATGTACCTCAAGATAATCAGACAAATAAGGTAGTGTGTGTGCAGTTCATTCTACAGCAGAATCTATTCATGTCTGCATAAAAAAGAGAAGCTGAAAATGCTTCTAAGTTCTTTAAGCATCATATGCTGATTTCTGCTTTACCACAGTGCTTTTAATACCAGAATCTAAAAGGGCATGCATCTGTATGCAGCTGGCTTTCTGTTGCTCTTTATAAAGTATATTAGGGCTCAGTGCCACATTCCTTTGGCTGGTGAAAGACGGCAGAATTTAGTCCTGATTATTATTTCTCAAAACCATGGTCCAAAATAAATGTCCAAGACTGATTATTAGGCACCAAGAAAGTGATGTATTTGCTAAGACTTGATATTTTATGATAAAAAAACTGGCTTTTCTGGTAGATATGTTCTAGTTGAATACAAATTATTGGGCTCAGTACTGGGGTCTGTATTACACTGAATATCAGAGAAGTTGATGTTTGTATTTTCTGTAAACTGTATGAAGGGACTGCAGAAGTTTTACAGTAAGACATGCCCATTTTGAAATTGTTGATAAATTTTCCTTCCATGTATTATTTTTAAACTCAAAAATCTGAACTATCTGCTTGGTACTAGCAGATTATGAAAAACTGTGACCATCAGTGAAGTCGACAGCAGTTTTGGGTGTTTGGTATTTCTCCAGATCAGAAGTTTTTGACTCCTCAAGTCCCATATAAAATCAGGGGGAGCTTTCCTATAGCAATGTCTTTTCCAGTGGCATGGAGGCCTGCCTTGCCTTATGGCTGTTGTGCATGCCAGGGATAAGACATTCTCAGCAGAGAAGCAAATTTCCCTTTTACAATGTTATCCAAAACAAAACCCCAAATTGCACATATCTACCCCTTTGGCCTTTTTTACGCACAAATATGCTTGTATTCAAAAACTGACGATGTTGGGTCTTTCCTAATAAACATCTTCAAAGAGCACATTTAAATGCTTTTTCACAGAAATAACCATTCATCAGTTGCAAAAATGCAGAGAGACTTTTTATTATTTCTGTTGTGAACAATATCAATTCAGCACAAATTTTGGGGGAGGAAGTATGTTTGTTTTTTTTTCCCAAATGTATTTAAAAAGGCTGAAGAACAAAATGTCGGGGAGGCAGCTTTTTTGGCAGATAGTAAAATATAAAATATGTGATTTAAAAAAAAAGTTGGCTTAAAAATACACACACACAAATAATACAATAATATAAAAATACAGCTCAGCCAATGGCCTCTTAAAATTTACCTTTGGCATTACATTTGGCAGCCTAACACAAATATAAACAGAACTATAAAAAAGAGAAGTTCATAAATTAGGTTGCAAGGGGTAGTAAGATCCTTGTCTTGATTCTCCAAACTCCTTTCCTTCCTGTCCACACACATAAGCATGACCAGTGAGGTATATAGAACGTAACACTGTCAGGCGTATGCACAATAAAAAAGTGCATAAACACAGAAGTTCTCCCATTTTCTTGCGAACAGGTTGAAACTGTGTGGTTTGCATTTTTCCCCCCTTGGAAATAAAAAGAAAATTGTTTTTTACTGTTTTTTTTTCTTACTTTGGCAGGATGAAAATGAACCCAGAGGAATATTAATGTCCTATTCCCAGCAGCAATGATCCATTTCCCTTGGCAACATTCGTCTGATGCCACAGATACTACAAGGTCGTTGGGTTGCTTTACAACTCTCTGGGTAACTTCCCACGGAAACATCATACGTCTAGCACCATGTCATAGTGTTGCTCTTTCTTCCGCCTGCCACATTTGGTGATAAGAACCAAGTACAAAGTCAAAAGCAGAACCCAGTAACATGCATAGAGTATTGTGCCAATGATGAGAACTGTCTGTTTTGACTCAGAAAATGGCTTTTTTGATTCCTTGTAGATAGTGAAAATTACGCCGCCTAGGAGGATTGTAAACCAAATGGAGACTGGAATGAGTCCTATAAAATTAACGACAATGGTTTTTCTTCCTGACGTGCCCCACCCTGCTTTGTTTATCGTGGCAATTGCAAACATCTTTGCTGGCAGTAAACTTGACATGTACAACACTGAGTAGAGTGACATGAAAACCATGACAATGTTGCCCCTAAGGAAGCTGGCAAAGGAAGACTTTATCAGGCCCACTAACTGAACAGTCAACAAGAAGAGGAGGATGTTCCAGATTTTTCCCCTGTAGAAGAGCTGAATGACTGTGGCGATAAGGAAGAAAGGAAAGAATCCAGTGATTACAGCTTCATAGGTCATCCACAAATGGTGCTTGTGGAACCACATAGCATTGTAAAGCCACTCTCTAAAGTACGATTTACTCCAGCGGGTCTGCTGATTCAGCCACCTGAGATACTCTATTGGTGTTTCGGTAAGGCACTTGGATCTAGCTGTGTATTTTGTTGCATAGCCCAGACTTAGCACTCTGTTAGTTAGATGCCTGTCATCTCCAAAGCTGCACTGGGAGCCCATAAATTCTTGATTGTACCAATCTTCCACAAATTCATGGAGTAAAGAGTTTCTGTACATTCCCAGAGGTCCACTGATGCACTGGACACAGCCGAAATAGGACTGACAGGCTCTTTCTATATTAAACGCCATCCAGTATCTGACGCTGCTCAGAAAGGAGATCCAGGAATCATATTTGTTCAAAATCTGCAAAATAAAAAAAAAAGTTATGACTTTAGATGAGCTCTTGAGATAGAAAATATATACACCAGATCAACAAGGAATTTGCAGAGACTAGACCACCATTAGCTGGAATACAGGGGAAACCTCACTCCTGTGTCCAACCCATGGCAAATCCAGGAGTTACCTGTACAGTCCAGGGCATTGACAGGAAGGGAAAGATAAAGCTTTCAAAAGTCTGTTCCACCAAAATATTCTCTTTTCCCCCACAACCTTTCCCATTCTCCACCAAGAAACTTCTTTTCTGGCTCATTCTTCCTTTCCCTTCACCCCCAGTTAAGAACCTGCCGGACTCAGCCCCTGGACTCCAGACATGGCCTCCGGCTTCCCTACCTCTGCACAAATCTTCGGGACTCAGGGCTTCTTCCAGCCCTCCTAAAGCTCTGCCGGAGCATGATAAAAGCTGAGCACATGGTCTTTGGCCTACATTTTCAGTACCAAAAGGCTGGCCCTAGAGGTTGGGCCCTGGACTATGTCCCTGTGTCTGACATTAGGCCCCCTGAGGCACAGCCTGTTCTGGTTTGTCTCTGCGGTACCAGCCCTGTTATGCTGCCCCAAGACATCCCGTGATACTCGCAGAGTGTTGCTTTGGCCCACATAAAGGCCTCGGTCTTTCTCTTCTGTATGCCCCAAAGCTTACCTGAAGTTCAGAACTACACTTAAAATACACCACAGACATAGTCGAGGAGTCTGAACACTCAGTGGAGGTATGAGCGTGTGCAGACATCCAAGTCCATGTCTTCACATCCAGGTTCTCAGCACACACCTTCTGCTGGGAAATGTGGCAAGGAGGTGTGTGGCTGTGCCAGCTCTGCACCAGTATTTTACCAGTGTGGGGATTTTCAGGGAAACCTGTGGCCTTCTACAACTAGAAAGCATTTTCCTGCAACTAGAAGTGTCTTTTGCTCTTCTGCCCCTAATTTCTGTCAGGTTGGAAGGCCAGGGGACAATCTTGTCTCTGTTTCAATTTAATTCCAGAACAGTTTGGAAGCAGCAGGGCTCAGGGATAGGCTCAAGCATGGCTCAAATGCATTTGGTGTACGCTGGAAAGTTAATTAAAAAAAAAAAAAAAAAAAAAAAACCCCAGCCCCTTTGTTTCGCCCCCTTTCCTTCCAGA